CCTCATACCCCTAGAATCACATGTTGTGCATGAACCTTATCCTCCAAGTGGCAGTGGTTCATTGGCAGCTCTGGCAGGCGGTTACAGCAATCCTTCACGTGCAGAGACAACTGTCCAGTGCCAGCTGTCCTGATGCAGAAATATCTTTTTGTTTTTTTCTGCGCCGAAAATGCCAAGGCATTTCAATCTGCTTTAGCAACGTGTAATGTCACAGCATTACTTCCCAAAGAATCCTTCTTCTTGCTATTCCCTGCACACTATAGACAAACTGCATCTTTCCCTCAAACAACACCATTAAGAAATAAAATAGCACAACCACCACAAATGCAACTATATGCAACTACATGATCCTAAAATGACTAAAATGAGCTTTTAAACAAACAATAACTTAAGTGAAAAAGGCTTTAATAGTAGCCTTTTTAGGAAGTTAACACACCCCCAAACTTAAGCTATTGTTTGTCCTCAAGCAATGGATAGCAGTTACATAAGCATAATGTCATGGCAAAGTTCGATAGTAAGATAGTAGGACAAAATTGAATTTCAACCCTCAGAACGATAGGCTTCAACATGCTAGACTTATCAAGAATTCAAGTACTTTTCCCTAGGTCAAAATCCTTTGTGGTAGTGTGTGTGTGTGATTGTATCCAATCTATACTTAGCGAATTTAGACAATTTCTAATCAAGTCCCTTAGTTTTTGTCAATGCATTTACTTATCATTAAGCACATTTTTACTCCATTTTCTTTGATTTTTTTTAACTGTTACGAAGGGAATCAGCTCATCACACCTACTCTCCCACACTCTAGATGAAAGGGAGCATACCTTCCATCCCCGAGCTAGTTAAGTAGAGTCATCCCGTGACTTCTTTCATTCACTCATATGCACAAGGCTTCCATTTATTAAAGAAAGTTCCAAGAAATACCACGGCAAAGAGGAGTGTCCCTCTACAGCTATGCTTAAGCATTTATTCACAGTTTCATTTCTAAGGGAGTTTTGTTTTTGATTTTTCTTTTAAACACCATACTATATTTCAATGCCAAGACTAACTAAAGTTCCTTCATAAAAATTTCCTAAATTTTCTAAGTATAGAAAACATACAAATCATGTAAATATTTTTCACAAAACATCAAGCCCTAGAGTGAGTCCTATCATTCTCAACAGTTATTTACATTCAGATTCTAGCCTAACAAAATTATCATCATCGGGTATCCTCAAAACATTTCATCTAACTGTCCTACCATTTACTGATGCCATGGCATAATACTATGCTAATGATATCATGCATATGACCTACCAAGAACAATACCTCCCCCAAACTTAAGGGAAGCATTGTCCTCAATGCTTTAAAGAGAACTAAACTAACTATAAACTATATGTTATGCAATGAAATGCAACTAAATGAAAATGGATGCAAGAAAGGTACCTCAATGTTTACGTGGTGGTGGTGCTTTGGAGGTGCTAGCAGCTCCTCGTCGGGTGCGCTTTCAGATAGGTGCTGGGCTGGACTCGGAAGAAGTGGAGTAATAGTTCGCAATGCGTCCAGCCGTGGTCTTGGTGCGACGACCACTACGTTGTGCATGAGAAGGATTGGGTGCTGGGACAGGGCTGGGTGTTTCTTCGACAGGGACAGTGGATGAATATTTAGGAGTTTTGGAACGGTGTGTATCAGGAGTAGGGTCATCAGCAGGAGGATCAGGTGCATCGTGCTCAGGCTCTGGAGATGCCTCGGCATTGAATGCTGGCAGAATTTCGTCTGGGAATCCAGGAAAATTCCGTTGTCCGTGGGGAATGATTTCTTGAAAGAATGATTCCACCACAGCATCTCTATGCTTCACATATCTAAAGAAGTTACGGATGTCACCGTGTAAAGCATGTATTTGAGCTTGAGTCTGCGTCACAGCTTCCTCGAGAGCAAGTAACCTTGCCTCGGCATTCGATTATGTAGCACCTGCAGATTGCTCATGAACAGGGTCGTTAGACTTGGGATTTTCAATTCCCAACAACAGTGGAAGTCTAGCCCTAGTGATGCCCGATAATCCAGGTAAAATTTCATCAAAAGCATTTTCCTCAACCTTTTTCTTACGACATAAAGCGGTAATTAAATTAGGAAACACCAAAGCACTTGCCTTTTTACCCAAACAGTCGTGAACTTGTTGAACAATGATACGACCCACATCGATCGGACGGGATACCATTATAGAATGTAAAAGCAATAAGCGTGAAAGTGATACCGTAGTGTTGTGGGAGGTGGGCATGAGTTTATGCTTGAGGAAGTGATTCCAGAATTTGGCACGCGGCTGAAGACGTTCCCGGTTAACCGAGTATCGGCTCGTCTGGCGACCATTCCACTTAGTGTTTTCGAAACAAAGGTCCTCCAAGACCCCATCGTATGTGTTGCTATCAGCTTCCTCTTCGAATGTGGCATGGTTATCCACAACATCCTGCAAATAAAAATAACGATTAATAGCAGTGGATGTAAAAAGGATTTGCTTACCTCAAACGAAGATGGAGTGTTGATTGGGCTTGGAAAATATTCGTATAGAACTCCTTAACTAATGAGGCGTTCACCGAACCAGGATGACGGGCAAACTTCTGCCACTTGAGTGGCGTCACGATGTCCATAACTTCGGGTCTAAAACCACCATCGGTTTCCTCGGTAAAAATAAATCCTAACTCAAAAAAGAGTTTTCGGTTCTTGAAGTTTTGGAACCGAGCCTTAGCCTCATCGTTCTCAAACTGTTACCAAGCGGTCGTGTCGGTTGGAGCCGGTCTTGAGCGCACCATTTTCAGTGTTTTTGATGTAAGAAAAATGAAAAAGGAAGAAGCTTTTGAAAGCTTTAAAAACTTGGATGTATTTCGGCTATGGAGAGAATAAGGGAAGAAGATGAGTAAGAGAGAGAGAAAAAGTAAAAGTTAACATGAAAGAGAAAAAAAATGAATAAAAAAAGAGAAAAGAAAAAAGTTAAAAATTTGGGAGGGAAAAGGGGGTGATAGAACGGTTAAGAGAGAAATTAGTGGGTGGGGGTTGTGCGTGTATGGGGAAGGAAAAACTGCCAAAAAGCAATGATGATGATGGGACAAAAACTATGGAAAGAGAAAAGTAAATGTCAGAAATTAAATTAAATAAAAAGAAACAAATCAAAAGAATATCTCTCCAATTAATGCTTTGTCCTTTCCTCCCTTTGGTAACCGCTCCTTGTACGGTTTGCAGCAATGTGGTCCCTACAAATCAGATCAAAAATTAATTACAAAATAAAAATAAAATAAAACTAAAGAAAAAAAACTTGAATGTTAAATTTTATTTATGCACAGACACAAATTCAATGCCGAGGCATCGAATTTTGGTTCTCCTCTGGGCACGCTTTAGTATCGTGCAGCCGTAACACGTCCTTGTTGTGCGGTGGTGGAATTCCATTGTAGGCTTTCAGACGGTGGCCATTGACCTTGAAGATCTTCCCTTGTCTATTCTCTTGATGTCAACAGCTCCATGGGGATAGACATAATGCACCTCAAATGGCCCTGACCATCGAGATTTTAGCTTCTCAGGAAAGAGTTTAAGTCTGGATTTGTAAAGCAAGACTTGTTGCCCCACATGAAAATGCTGTGGCATCAGTTTTTGGTCATGCCACTTATTTGGTTTTCTCCTTGTATATCCGAGCATTCTCATATGCTTGTGCTCTAAACTCTTCCATTTCATTAAGTTCTAATAATCTCTGCTCCCCAGCTAGTTGAGCATCGAAATTCAATCGCTTGATAGCCCAATAAGCTTTATGTTCAAGCTCAACCGGGAGATGACAAGCTTTACCATACACTAACTTGAAGGGTGACATCCCCAAAGGAGTTTTGAATGCTGTTATGTACGCCCAAAGTGCTTCATCCAACTTTGGCGACCAATCCTTTCGCTTTGGGTTCACCACTTTCTCTAAAATATGCTTGATCTCTCGATTAGATATCTTAGCTTGGCCATTTTTTCTGCGGATGATATGCCGTGGCAATCTTGTGTCAAACTCCATATCTCAGCAATGCCTTGTCAATCAACTTGTTATCAAAATGGGTTCCTTCATCACTGATGATAGCACGAGGTACTCCAAACCGAGTGAAAATATACTTGTGCAAAAACTTGAGTACGGTCTTGGAGTCATTCCTTGATGTTGCTATTGCTTCCACCCACTTTGACACATAATCCACAGCAAGCAATATATATAATTTTCCTTCAGAAGATGGGAATGGTCCCATGAAGTCGATGCCCCATACATCAAACAGCTCTATCTCCAAAATATTTTTGCAGCGGCATCTCATGTCGTCTGGAGATGTTTACAGTCCGTTGGCATCGATCACATCATTTGTAAAATGCTTGGGCATCTCTAAACAAAGTTGGCCAGTAAAATCCTGATTGCAGGACCTTAGCAGCAGTCCTTGCTCCACCAAAATGGCCTCCACTTGGGGCCAAATGACAATGGTACAAAATATCACTTTGCTCCTTTTCAGGTACACATCGTCTAATGAGCTGATCGACACAATGTTTGAACAGATATGGCTCATCCCAAAAATAGTGCCTTGCATCGTGCTTGAACTTCTTTTTAGCCTGACTATTCAAATCAAAAGGCACAAGTCCACTAACAAGAAAATTAACAAGGTCAGCGTACCACGGGATTGCCGCGGCATATAAAATTTTCTCATCAGGAAATTCCTCTTGGATATCTACAGTGTCATGGCATTCAGAATTGTTCTCTAGCCTAGATAAGTGATCAACAACTTGATTTTCAGTTCCTTTTCTATCTACCACCTCTAAGTCAAATTCTTGCAAAAGTAAGATCCACCTAATAAGTCTAGGCTTGGCATCCTTTTTGTTCACTAAGTATTTTATAGCCGAATGATCAGTGTGAACAATAACTTTAGTGCCTATTATGTAAGGTCTAAATTTATCAAAAGCAAATACTGCGGTAAGTAATTCTTTCTCAGTGGTGGTGTAGTTCAATTGTGCTTCATTTAAAGTGCGGCTAGAGTAATAAATAACATGAAAGATTTTACCTCGGCGTTGCCCCAAAACAGCTCCTACGGCATAATTACTTGCATCACACATCAGCTCAAATGGTGATGTCCAGTCGGGAGGGACTACAATGGGTGCCGAGATCAGTTGTCGTTTCAGCTCAGTAAATGCGACGAGGCATAATTCGTCAAACACAAAGGGTTGGTTTTGTTGAAGCAATGTGCACAAGGGTTTAGAAATCTTGGAGAAGTCTTTGATAAACCTTCTATAGAATCCAGCATGTCCAAGAAAACTTCTTATTCCCTTGACCGAAGTTGGTGGTGGCAACTTTTCAATCACTTCAATTTTCGCCTTGTCTACCTCAATACCCTTGTGTGAAATTTTGTTGCCTAATACAATGCCTTCAGTCACCATGAAGTGACATTTTTCCCAATTTAAGACCAACTCAGCCTCTTCGCATCTCTTGAGAACTTTAGCTAAATTGCCGAGACATCGTTCAAAATCGTCCCCACAAACAGAAAAGTTGTCCATGAAGATCTCCAGAAAATCCTCAACCATATCTGAAAATATAGCTTGCATACAACGCTGAAACGTTGCCGGGGCATTACAGAGTCCAAAAGGCATCCTCCTAAAGGTAAAAGTGCCATAAGGACAAGTAAATGTAGTCTTCTCCTGGTCCTCTGGTGCGATGGCAATTTGATTGTACCCCGAGTACCCATCCAAAAAGCAATAGAATGCTTTGCCGGCCAATCGATCCAACATTTGGTCGATGAAAGGTAGAGGAAAGTGGTCCTTCTTCGTAGCTTTGTTGAGTTTTCTATAGTCCATACATATCCTCCATCCGGTCACAGTGCGAGTGGGTAATAGCTCATTACCCTCATTCGTAACCACCATCGTGCCTCTTTTCTTCGGAACACATTGGACAGGGCTCACCCATGAGCTATTGGAGATAGGGTAGATCACTCCAGCATCAAGCCATTTCAGAATTTCTTTCATCACCACTTGCTTCATAACCGGGTTGAGTCTTCTTTATGGTTCAATTGAATTGCCGTGGCAATCTTCTAGCATAATCTTGTGCATGCAGATCATGGGACTAATGCCTTTCAAATCGGGCATAGTCCAACCAATTGTTTTCTTATGCTGCATCAAAACACTTAACAAACTTTGCTCTTGGTTAGTAGTAAGGTTAGCAGAAATAATCACCGGTAAAGTCTCATCGCTACCTAAGTAAACATATTTAAGATGCCCTGGCAAAGTCTTATGAAGGCTTAGGAGAAATGAAATCATCAAAATTCAGAGGTTCAAAATTCATACCTGATCTAACTTGTACTAAGCTAGATTGCTCCTCCAAAATTGGCAAGTCGTCGGACTCCACTAAGCTTTCATCATCCACCCAATATTCATTTTCTGCTAGCTGAATGAAGTTGTTCTGGAAAAGATGTTCAGTCTCTTCTTCAATCACTGAGTTCAATTCAGAAATGCCTTGGCATTCTTCAGTGTCATCAACATATTTGAGCGTTCTAAAAACATTGACAGTCACACACTGATCAGCCACTCTCATGGTGAGTTCACATTTTTCACAGTCTATCAAGATACGTCCAGTGTCTAGGAAAGGTCTTCCCAGAATGATTGGTGCCTTGGCATCAACTTCACAGTCCAGAATTAAGAAGTCGACTGGAAACACAAACTTGTCCACCCTTACTATAACATCCTCGACTCTCCCTTCAGGTTTAACATGGGATTTGTCGGTAAATTATAAAATAATTGAGGTGGGTCTTGCATCTCCTATGCCAAGCTTCAAGAATATCAATTTCGGCTTTAAGTTGACACTTGAACCAAGATCACATAAAGCCTTTCCAACGAAATTAGCTCCAATTGAACAAGGAATAATGAAGCTGCCCGGATCATTTCTCTTTGGCGGCAACTTACTCAATGAAGAACAAAATTCTGTTGCCGTGGCAATAGTCTCTACTTTCCTCTTCTTGGTACAGATGTCCTTCAGAAATTTGGCATATATCAGCATCTGTTCAACAGCTTCCAAGAGAGGTATATTGATATGGAGCTGATCAAGAATGTCTACGAACTTCTTGAACTGAACTTCATCATTGTGCTTCTTCAATCTTTACGGGAAGGGTGGGGGAGGTCTAGCTTCCTTAGCTGTAGAAATAGAATTTTCTTTTGCCTTGGCATCAGAATCTGGTACCTTGGCAGAATCCTCCTCCTTGTCCTTCTCAGAAACTCTATCATCTTGTAATTCAGCTTCAGTAGTGGGATTAGAATCATCATGTTGTGGCCCACTATCCTTGACTTATCGATTGATTTGTGTTCCACTCCTAAGAGTTAACACATTGCAGTACTCTTTTCCAGGCCCTTTAGTGACTTCAGTATCACTTGGCAAACATCCTTGCTGACGCTCTTGCAATGCCGTAGCAATCTGACCAACTTGACCTTCCAAAGCTCTCAGAGACGAGCTATGGCTTTGAAGTAAGGCGCCTTGACTATGAAGTAAAGCTCCTTGATTCTTAATTGAAGTAGAATGGTCTTGCAACATTATCTTCGTAGTAGATATGAATTCTTGAATTGTAGCTTCTAAGGAACTTATGCTCGCTGAAGATGAAGCTCCTTTGTTAGCATTATGCCATGGCATAGCATTTTGGTAACTTTGAGGCTCATTGTGATTCTGCTACCTAGTAGGTTGATTAGCATTGTGGGCTCCTTGATTTCCCCATGAGAAATTGGGATGCTGACGCCATCCAGCATTATAAGTGTTTGAGTAAGGATTGTTGCTGCCTCGATTGTAATTACCAACAAAGATGATGGACTCATGGTTGGTTGGGCATTCGCTCTCGTGATGATTGTCTTGGCGTAACAGACATGCCAGATTAGTTGTTTTCACTTCCTTCACATCAGTGGAACATTGTAAGTTCTTCAACATATTAGTAATAGCGGAGAGTTGAACGGACACCGAATCTTTGGCTTCTAACTCGAATGCTCCAGGTGCTCTCCTCCCACTCCCAAGTCTTGAGGAAGGAAATTGATAATCATTGTTAGCAATTCTGTCCAAGATAGCAAACGCCTCCGTAGGTGATTTGTCCAGTAATGTCCCATTTGCCGAGGCATCCAGTAACATCCTCGTGGGTGCATTGACTCCATTATAGAACATGACTACTTGAGTCCAATCATGAAAACCATGATTTGAACACTTTCGAAGCAAACTCTTGTAACGATCCCAACACTCATACATGGATTCGTCGTCGCCCTGGCGAAAAGATGATATTTCATTCCTTAGCTGCGTATTCATGTTTGGTGGGTTGTACCTCAATAAGAAACTCTTGCAAAGATTGGCCCATGATTCCATCGAACCGGCTGGTACGCCACTCAACCAAGCTCTTGCTCGGTCACGCAATGAATACGGAAAAAGCTTTAATTTCATAAAATCCTCATGCACTCCTTCTTGGCGGAAAGAATCACAAACTTCCAGAAAATTGCGAATGTGCTGCATGGCATCTTCAGTTGGCATACCCCCAAACTGCCCAATGGAATTCAACATGTTGAACATGACTGGTTTCAGCTCGAAATGTGCAGCTTGAATTTCGGGTGCCACAATCCCAGGATTCAGATCATCCAGCATCGGATTCAAATGATCTCGAATAACACGAGGCCTGATAGCAGGTTCAACATTGTTTAATGCCGCGGTATTCTGATTTCCGTCATCTTGACCAATGCCTTGGTTTACAATCTGATACATATTTCCTTGAGCACGTCTTCTTCTTCTAAAGAGTCTTTCAATCTCAGGTTCTATTGGTTCCAAAGGCTCTTCAGAATTTCTTCTAGGCATACACTAAATAAACCTGAAAAATAAAACAAAAATATAAAGTAAACTATACAAAAAAATAAAAATGCAAAACAAAATAAAATGCTCTGGCAAAACTAAATAACTTCAGGCTGCCAATCCCCGGCAATGGCGCCAAAAACTTGTTCGCGTGTTGTGAGTACTATAAAATATACGCAAATAATGTGCAAGTATACACAATCGCTCAAGTAATATAATGATGAGTGAGTATCGTCTCCACAGGGATTGGGTGAAATTACGAAAGTCTAACCAAAGCAACGCACTAAATTATCTAAGTATAGTTAGTCTTGATATATACAAATGTCACGGCAATGGATATGTGTATGCTGGTGGATGCGGATTGATAGTGAGATGGTGTAGCAAATGGAAATGCAGTGGCAATGATGGATGTTTAATATTGAGTATGGTGAAATGTCAAGGCAATGAAAAATGGTAAAAACAGTAAATAAAAGATAAATAATAAAATAAGAAGAAAATAATCCTCACGTGACAAGCTTCCAATGAAATGAATGGTAAGGATTGGTCTAAGGTTGCTAAACTTATTTCTCAAGTATATTTAAGCTATCTTGTCTTTACTTACTTGACAGGGCTTTCCTAAGGTGTTCAAAAGAACCTAACAGAATAGGATGCCAAGGCATCTGCTCTCACTCAACGATGTTGGACAGCCTACCCTATTGATAAAGACACCTTTTTTAGTCGTTGAAATCCTAACCTAGTCTCTTCCGAGATCTAAGGGATTAAGTTATAATATTCCTAGGCCGGTTCAAAGCCCCTTGAAAATACCATAACCCATTGCTTATGAGGATCTTATCTTGCGTTTCTTCCGAATACTTACAAGTATTTTTAGTTTAGGATTCTTCCGAATACCTAACCTTCATCTAAGAGATGGACATTTCCATGCCTCTTACAAGCCTAGATGGTGAAGCATTCATAAGCAAAGCAAATAAAGAACCAAAATAAACTTAAATATACCATTAAAAATAAAGTTTAAACAACCATTAAATCAACCCCACCAAATAAGTTAGTTCATGGTGGGGTTCGAATATCCAAACACAAAGTCATGAAAATATTCGTTCCAACAACCCACAAAATAATATAAAAATAGCAGCAAAAAGGGAAGTGAGAAGAAGCCTTCGACGCGCCACCGGAGGTCTCCTCTCGGCCACCACGAACCACCTAGCTTGCTAGCTCCTTTCGACGCCTAGCTTGCCACTCCTTGGAGCTTTATCAATAGAGGAATATCCCAAGGAAGAAGAAAGGAAAAGAGAAAATAAAAATGTGATTTTTCTACTCTATGCGTGTGCTCTCTGTCCGTATATCTCTCTCTCCCATGAGGTGTCATATATAATAAAAAATATCTAGGGGTAATGATGAGTTTGTTGGGTGCAAAATACCCCTCATACCCCTAGAATCACATGTTATGCATGAACCTTATCCTCCAAGTGGCAGTGGTCCATTGGCAGCTCTGGCAGGCGGTTACAGCAATCCTTCACGTGCAGAGACAGCTGTCCAGTGCCAGCTGTCCTGATGCAAAAATATCTTTTTGTCTTTTTCTGCGCCGGAAATGCCAAGGCATTTCAATCTGCTTTAGCAACGTGTAATGTCGCGACATTACTTCCCAAAGAATCCTTCTTCTTGCTATTCCCTGCACACCATAGACAAACAGCACCATTAAGAAATAAAATAGCACAACCACCACAAATGCAACTATATGCAACTACATGATCCTAAAATGACTAAAATGGGCTTTTAAACAAACAATAACTTAAGTGAAAAAGGCTTTAAAAGTAGCCTTTTTAGGAAGTTAACAGTTGGCATGCCAAGGGTCGAGGGTTTACCTATGTTCTTCGGAACATATGGACTGTTTACCTAGGTTCTTCGGGATCTATGGACTAGTCTTTCGGGACGAATACTGAACTAAGGTTCGGTGCCCCATGAGGGAATTGATACGAGCTGTGGTGACAGCATTAGTGCACAACCTCAATATACTCACATACCTTAAGTTCTCAAATGTATACATGGGCTAATGCAAGGGCTTTAAAGATAATAAATAACTTGTTATGATACTATATATATGCTTTGTTGTGAAATGACAAGGATACTCGATGGTGAGTATAGAAAGGTTCAATATATGCTTACATGATAGAAAGAAATTAGTAATAATGATATGAGTACTGATAAGTATATTAATGATATATGTATAAGTATGCATTATGTTATATGAAATGGTTTGTGGTTTTATTATATGTTTTATATACCTCACTAAGTCTATGACTTAGCGTGTAAGTGATTTACACGTAGGTACCAAGAAACGAGAAGAGCAAGAATAGAAGTGGCAAAGACAGTATCATTACTAGAAGATCAGATCAAAAGTAATTGACAAAGTAGGTATTTGGTTATGTATAGAGTGTTGGCATGTAACAAGTGGTTAATTATGAATACTCTGATAGATTTTGTATTAAATGGTCTCTTTTATGTAAATTAAAGTATTTTGTTTTAATGAAAAGTCAATGTGACACTTCAGACTCGTATTCGAGTCGGATATGAGTTGGGGGTGTTACAGAATGCATGTAACAATGCTTAAACAAATACAATGCAAAATGCAAATGCAAATGCAAAATGCAAATGCAAATGCAAATGCAAAAGGTGTTAATTCCAAAAGTGACCACCATAGAACAACCTTCATTTAGAAAACAAGGTTTCATTACACTAGGTAGTCAATAACGAATTTGTCTTTGTTTCTTCGAATTATTTTCTGGTGTTGCGCTCAAAGTCATTGTTGTATCATGTTGAGTCCTCTTTCGTATTTGGCGAGGTTTAGGTCATCTTCTTAATTTGTCTATTACCGAATCTTGAGATTTTAACTTCAATGAGATTTCCAATGAATAAAGATCTTCATGTCTTCGTGAAGAGTCTTCTTGTTCTTGATCTAGCCGAAATCTATCTCTTAGGAGAGCATATTGGTCTGAGTGCCTTTAAAAAAGGATCTTTAGTTGGTTTTAGTTTCTTTATTCATCGGTTATCTTTCTTCATGGATTATTAAAACATCTTTGAATTCCTTATCCCATTATTAACAACCTTCTATTTAGTTAATCACTTGCGAATTAACACCTTTGGATGACATTAAGATGCAAATGCAAGAAATGAATAAACACAAACAATAATGGGTTAGTACACATAAGATAATCAACAAAATAGTAATAACAATAATCAATGAATAAAATCTACCATAATATGTTGACTACCCATACATGGTTTAATAGATCTTACCCTAGCATGATCTCCACCCTAATGCTTTGTTCGCAAAATAAATCCTAACCCCGCATTTTTTTTTTGTTTCAAGACGTGGAGCCGATGATCATTTTCTTTTCAAAATAAAGATACCAAAAATCTAAATTTATTTCATAATCAAATATATAAATTTTTTGTTTATAATATTATTATGCTATGATTTTTTGTATGTTTATAATCTTTAAACTAATAATATCATTCATAATTCTTTTATATATTTTCGTTATATATTTTGTTAAATATTATAGATCATAAATGCTTAACACTTTGGTAAAAAGAAAAAAAATTGATTAAAAATTTCAGCTCAATAAGATTAAAGCCCGATTTAAATTTACGATTAAGAATTAATCTACTTTATTTTAGAATAGTATTAAAATTTCATCACCGTTTCTATAAACCGGTAATGATGCGATGAGAATAGAAGAATAGTGAGAAACAAGAGATTAAACAAAAATATATATAAAAATAGAATTTATAAATATATTTTATTTAATTAAATGTTTTTCTTTTAAATTTAATTTTAACTTAAATATTGACACATAGCATTTTCTCCTTGGTGATATATGCCACTGATTATTTTATTGACGTTAAAAAATAAAAATTAGACTAAAATATGTAACTTAAAGTATAATTTAGGTATTAAAGTGAGAGAAAGTATATATTTTAGGGTCAAACTATACATTAAAGATTTATTTTTCATTGGAAAAAGATGACGTGGAAATAATTAAACGGAGAAAAACCCGGCCAGTAAGATGGGATCGTTATTTCCTATATAAATCCGTTCCTCCCTCTTCACAACTTGCATTCTATTTCTATATTTCCAGCGGAGAATCCCCTTATTTCCTCTCTTATTTTATAACCTAATTTCTCTCCTTTTCCCGCTTGGTACTTTCCCTGCACTTCTGAAGAGGTAAACCAAAAATAAGAAATCGACAATAAAATAATTAAATAAAATGGAAATTCTCTCTCTCTCTCTCTCTCAATTGAATGTTTTGGTTGTTTTTGTAAGTTTCACTTTGGATTTATATATTGGAACTTGGAACAATGCTGGAGGGATGAAATTGGGCATTGTTGAATCGAAGGACAGAGGGTTTGACCTTTGGGTTAAGGCATTGTTGCTTGATTGTTTCAATGGAATTAGTTTTAAGTTTATCGAAGAAGGTGAATGCCAATGGGGCTAAGTGTTTAGATTTTATTCTTGTTCAAAACCCTAGGCTTTGATCTGGCGCTGATTGGGGGATTAATTAGTTTAAACTATTATTAAGATTGTTAACGTTTGGGTGTTTGTTTGGCATTGTTTTGAATGATTTTGATGCATATTGTTCGGTACATGGACAGGCGACAATCCTAGATTTGTTATGCTTTACTTTTGAAACTGTTTATTGATCAATGAAATTGATTGTGTATATGTGGATGTGTCAATTTGGCAGTCAAGCTAGTTGTTATTGGTTTTTGTTTCTTGACAGGAGGTATTTAGCAAGTGCATTTCTTTGTTTCTTACCAATTGTGCGAACTTTTATTGCTTAACTGGTTTTTGTTAAAGCTGGTGATTTTTTATTTATATGTACAGATTTGTGTTTTATGTGCATTTTTTGCTGGAACAAAAAGCAATTAGACCCGGTTAGATCTTGCTGGAGTGATTATATAGATTTTATACATTTATACATGAAATGGGCTCCCGTGGAAGACCATTATTTGATCTTAATGAATCCCCGGCTGAAGACGGTGAGGAGAGTGATCTTGCTGCCTGTTTCCAGCTACAGAAGGTGTTTCCATCTCCTAATGCCCCTACTTGTGACTTGTCTGTGACATCAGCAGGTTCTCAGCAAATAGAAAATAGCCATAGGTTCCCACATTTGTCATCTGGCTCAGATTTTCAACCTTTTATTCAGCCTAAAGCTTCTCCTTTTACTGAAGTAGGAGTTAAACTTGAGAGAGCCGAAGATCAGAATTCAAATTTGGCATCATCTTCTTCAACGTCAAATTACATTAGGGAGACAAAAGCACATGTACCAGCTTCATCTGTTTCAGGTTCTGCAAATGCTCTGGCTGCAGAAAGAGAAGAAGGTGAGTGGTCTAACGCTGCTGAGGATTCTGCTGATGTTGGTAATAGTTGTGTACATGGAAAGGTTAAAACTTCACAAGAGCAAGGTGTAAACTCTAGTGCTTCAGGCATGATTATTCAAAGTGTTAGTGCCACTGAAACCAACCATTCTCCATTGGACCAATGTCTGAATGATCAGAAGGGCAATGGTAGCCGAAATTCAGAAGGCTGTAGTAAAGGTGATATACCCATTGATGATCTGGAAGAACCTGGCTTGGTGCCAAAACAAAGAGAAGTTAAAGGTATTGAAGCTAGCCATGCACTTAGGTGTGCGAATAATCGAGGAAAGAGGAATATAGATGAACAGAAAGAAGCAATGCTGGGCAAGAAACGGAATAGGAAGACAATGTTTCTTAATTTGGAAGATGTCAAACATGCTGGCCCTATAAAAACTTCTACTCCAAGAAAGCAAAATTTGCCAGTGCCAGTTATTACTCGCTCTGTGAAAGAATTTTATACTGGTGAACAAGTCGAAGAGAAGCAAAATCAGTCAATAAATGAGGGTCAGAAGCAAGTTGATGTACCATGTAATGAAGGAAGCAATCCTGCAGTGGAGTCAAGTGATCGTAAATTTGAATGTAATGGTAATATGAATTATGGACTACTTTCCAGGCCTCGTAGGTTAAATAGTGGCTCTGATCTTTCAGAGGCTCATTTTACAACCGTTCCCAGACAGAGTCCATGGAAACAACCTATGGATTCAAGGCAGCCTAAGAATTTACAGTTTCCTAATAGGAATGCAATTTCAATCAGCCAAAGCACCATGGACACAAAGATGGTAAACAAGAAACATCTTCCTTCTAAAAAGATAACTGCTACTACTACCTCATATCAAGACACATCTGTAGAACGGTTCATACGAGAGGCGACCAACGAAAAGTTTTGGCATCATCCAGGTAACAATATATGTGTTAATGTGTGTTTGTTTAGATTTACGGATGGCTGTTGACTACTACTAGACTTCCTGGTTCTAGATATTCTTATTCTTTTTTCCCTTCTGTTGCTTTACAGTTATTTTTTCTTTTTAAATTTTTATTGTTACTTTTCTCATCTCAGTCACCAATGCTCCAACTTATCACCCTGTGAGAATGGTAATGAAAAGAGGAAATGGAAATTCTGAGATGTATATTTTTTATTCTAAAAGCTGACTTTTTACCGTTGCCTTTATTTGCAATATCTATTAGCAGTAGTTCTCACGATCTGGTTATTTATGAAAAATTCTATTGTAGAAGTTATTCATTTGACATGTTTTTGGAGTTAGTAGTTTCCTCAAATTTATCCCAACTTAAAGTGTAATTATTTGTTTAATGGAATCTCTTTGTTAGGCACTTGCATGTTATAGGAGATTTCTTGGGTAAATTTTCTTATTTTTTCTATTATGTGCTAAGCCTCAGAATATTAAATTGAGCCCTAATAATGTGAACAAATTCTGAAGTCATTGATACTCATTAGAGTGAAAGAAGGTGTATTTAATTAATGTAAAGTAAAATATATGATCACGACTATTTCTATCTTTGCTTCCATCATGGTAATTGATGGAAGTTCCTTTTTTGTGTGTTTTTGGCTTGGCAACTTCTAAATTGCAGTTAATCACTTCTATATTATGTGTTAATATAATATTGTATATGACAATGAATTTTATCACTTAATGCATCAGAAAATAGTGAACTCCAGTGTATTCCCGGGCAGTTTGAGTCTGTAGAAGAATACGTCAGAGTATTTGAGCCATTGCTTTTTGAGGAATGTCATGCACAGCTGTACAGTACATGGGAAGAGTTGGCTGAAACAGCTTTGAAGGATGCACATTTAATGGTCCGTATCAAAAGCATTGAAAGGCGAGAAAGAGGTAACAGTGCCTTATAACTCGTCTTAGTCTACAGCTTTGTAACATTTTGCCTTAGTGATAAAGTAGTTACTGTAGGGGGGATTTATAAGTTTTTACAATTGCAGCCTCGACTTTTAATTTGGATACCTTTTCTGGCTCCAGATTAGAAATGTTGTCGTTATTTTTACGTTAGTAACATATCTTCCTACTAGTTTTATTAATTGGCAGAAATTTTATTCTGTTGGTTTAGGATGGTATGATGTGATTGTTCTTCCAGTCAATGCGTGCAAGTGGGTATTTAAGGAGGGTGATGTTGCAGTTTTATCAGCCCCAAGTCCTGGTTCTGGTATGATATTGGAATAAGACTGCTTTTCAGATTTATTTTGGAATAATTAAAAAGTAATGTATATTTTACAATGTTTATTTCTTATATCAAGCAGTTAGAAACATGTGGAACAACACCTCTTCAATAGAAGATGAAGGGGCTGAGGTTACTGGTCGTGTGGTTGGTAATGTTAGGCGCCACAGACCCATTGATACTCGTGATCCTCTTGGAGCGATCCTTCACTTCTATGTTGGGGATTCCTATGATTCAAGCTGGTAATTAGAGAAATGTTACTTATTTTGATATTGTGTGGTTTGTTTCCTTCAGCTTTTGTGCTACTGTTGATTATTGCAAAAGCTTAGCCAAATTCTTACAAGCATGAATTTTCTCCCTTTTTTTCTTTTAATATTGAAACAACATATTAATGTTTATAGCAAGGTTGATGATGATCACATTCTGCGGAAACTTCAACCCAGGGCAATTTGGTATCTAACTGTTCTTGGATCTCTTGCTACCAGCCAACGAGAGTATGTGGCATTGCATGCATTTTGTCGTTTTAATTCCCAGGTATGTATTTATTATTATCATTTTTAAAGATTTATGTGGCTAGATGCATCTTACTAGGTTTAACAAAATTTCTCTTGGGCACAGATGCAAACTGCCATCCTTAAACCAAGTCCAGATCACTTTCCAAAATATGAGCAGCAAACTCCTGCTATGCCTGAATGTTTCACCCCAAATTTTGTTGATTATTTACATAGGACATTTAATGGTCCTCAGCTTGCAGCAATCCAGTGGGCTGCTACGCATACAGCTGCTGGAACAAATAGTGGGGTGACAAGGAAGCAAGAACCATGGCCTTTTACACTTGTTCAAGGGCCTCCTGGAACAGGTAAGACGCATACAGTCTGGGGGATGCTAAATGTTATCCATCTGGTTCAATATCAACACTATTATACATCTTTGCTTAAGAAATTAGCACCTGAGAGCTATAAGCAAGGTAATGAAAGCAATCCTGACAATGTTGCAATGGGATCAATTGATGAAGTCCTTCAGAACATGGACCAAAATCTTTTCCGAAGCCTTCCAAAACTCTGTCCTAAGCCCAGGATGTTAGTTTGTGCTCCTTCTAATGCTGCAACTGATGAACTTCTTGCACGTGTTCTTGGTCGAGGATTTATTGATGGTGAGATGAAAGTTTACCATCCTGATGTGGCCCGAGTTGGGGTAGACTCTCAAACACAGGCTGCCCAGGCAGTTTCTGTTGAGCGGAGGACCGAACAGCTTCTGCTCAAGAATCATGATGAAATTTTACAACATGTGCGCTCTTTAAAGGCTCATGAAGCTATGTTATCTCAGCAGATAGCTACTCTTCAACGGGAACTTTTTGCTGCAGCTGCTGCTATTCGGTCCCAAGGATCTGTTGGAGTTGACCCTGACATTCTTGTTACTCGGGACCAGCATAGGGATGCATTGTTGCAGAACCTGTCTGCAGTTGTGGAAACCAGAGATAAGGTTCTAGTCGAGATTTCTCGCCTTCTCATTGTAGAATGCAGGTTCCGTGTTGGCAGTAACTTCAACTTAGAGGAAGCCCGTGCTAACCTTGAGGCGAGTTTTGCCAATGAGGCTGAGATTGTTTTCACCACCGTCTCGAGTAGTGGTCGCAAGTTGTTCTCTCGTCTTAGCCATGGTTTTGATATGGTTGTCATCGACGAGGCTGCTCAAGCCAGTGAAGTTGCAGTACTTCCTCCCCTCTCTCTTGGTGCAGCAAGATGTGTACTTGTTGGGGATCCCCAGCAGCTTCCAGCGACAGTCATCAGCAAGGCTGCTGGGACCCTCTTATACAGTAGAAGCCTTTTCGAAAGGTTCCAACAAGCAGGATGTCCAACTATGTTGTTGTCTGTGCAATATAGGATGCATCCTCAAATTAGGGATTTTCCTTCTAGGTACTTTTACCAAGGACGTCTTACCGATAGTGAAAGTGTTGCCAACATACCTGATGAGGTTTACTACAAGGCTCCTTTACTTAAACCTTATCTGTTCTATGATGTTACCCATGGCCGCGAGTCTCATAGAGGTGGATCTGCATCATTTCAGAATGTGCATGAAGCAGCATTTTGTTTGCGCTTGTATGAACATCTACAGAGAACTATAAAATCTTTGGGTGTGCCAAAAATCACTGTGGGAATAATCACACCATACAAACTGCAACTAAAATGCCTACAACGTGAGTTTGAAAGTGTTATAAATTCAGAGGAAGGAAATGATCTATATATCAATACCGTGGATGCTTTCCAGGGCCAGGAACGTGATGTTATAATTATGTCTTGTGTCCGTGCCTCAAGTCATGGGGTGGGCTTTGTAGCAGACATTCGGCGAATGAATGTTGCTCTTACTCGTGCCAGAAGGTCTTTATTGGTATGAATTCTCTCTTTTATTATTCTATGATATGACTACTTTATAGCTTGTAACATCACCTAACTGCTTGAAGTTGTGTTTATTTTCTGGAATTGACATTGATGTTTGAACAGGTGATCGGTAATGCCAAAGCTCTGATGCAATCCAATGACTGGGCAGCTTTAATTGCTGATGCCAAAGCTAGGAATTGTTATGTGGACATGGATTCTCTCCCCAAGGACTTCCAAAAAGACTTGGTCTCGGAAGATTTTCCCAGGCCAAGGGGATTTGGTTACCCTCCATCACAGGGTAAGGCTTCTAACACTAGGAGTTCAAGGCTTTCTGGACCGAGATATCGATCATTAGATATGCACATGGACTCCAGGTCGGGAACACCACTAGAAAGTGCAGACGAGTCAATTTATAGGAATGGGAATTATCGGTCATTTAAGCCACCTATGGAACCGCTCTTGGAAAACTTTGATCAGCCAGGAGATAGATCTAGAAATGCCTGGCAATATGGTATACAGAAGCGGTATTCTGCTGCTGGTGCTATGGGGAGAAAAGATTCTTAGCCATTGATTTGCCTAAAAAATTATTTGTGCACAGTGAATAGCATGGGAGCAGCACTTTCCATTCCTTGTGATTGAAGTACGTGAATATCTCTTGGTTCCATGAAGGATCAAGTGCATTAGCTCTGGATATTTGCTAGGGGCACCAACGAGCTTCCAAACTCATACCCTAGATCCACCTATAACCTTCAAAGGTAAGAAACACTTGAAGCCAAAGCTCTGGACAAAGCAATTTGATCAAAAAATTCATCTGTGATCTTTATATATGTTTTACATATAATCATTTACCATGTCTTATCCAGGAATTGATTGCTGACATTGAGGACGCTTCTACCTAATCAAGATTACTTAGCTTGACAACTGATAGAAATTCTGGCGTTACTTGGATGGAAGTCTGATACAGTTGGGGAGTCATCCTAGTTCTTTTTGCCCCGTTGGCTCTGTATCTCTCAACATAACATGTGACTCTCACTCGAAAGATGCTTTCCTTATTACATTCATTGACTTCACAAATGTTTGCAAAAATCTCTCGGTCTGCTCTCCATTGGGTGTTTGCGCAGAACAGCCAGCATGGTTGAAAAGCAGCTCGGGTTGAACAAGATGAAGTGACAAATTTTTATGTGCACAAGGTATGGGTCAGTTAACTGAATATTCATTTTTTTGGGTGGTAGAAAAATGACTTTCCATAATTTTTCATAGAGATGGAAGGAGTAGTGAATTGAAGGAAAATATTATAGCATAGGAATTTTCAAGTTAAATGATTTGGTACATACATGTTCTAAAGCTTTGGTGTTAAAAAAAAAGAAAAAGAAAATCCAGATGTTTCTGTTTATTTGTTGTATTTTTTTTAAAATTGTGAATAAAAATAGATTTTCAAAATACTCTGATTTTTCGATAGATTTTCAAAAAATTACACTTTTTTTGTCAACTCTAACCAGCAATATGCCCATATTTGGGACTCAACCAAGTATAGAGCTTTACAAAAAGCCAATGACTTCCCTGTTTTTCGCCTCAAAAGTTATATAAGCTAGCATCTCAATGCTCAAAAGGAGAGGATAGCGAGATTCTAGGGCGGTTACAGGAATTTCACAATTTAAGAGTTAAAAAGAACAAAGATGCCATTAAAACATATGTACAACTTGAGGTGTTTAAATAATTTTTCGTTAAAAATAGAGGTTTAACGTTTTCAATATTATATTTTAAGTGTTTGAATAATAACTGTCATTAAATTTGATCGTATTTTAACACTTATCATACATATAATTTTTTTTTAAAAAAAACATGATATTATAGTTTTTTTTTATTAAAAAAATTCCAACTTTTTTTAAAAAATATATATATAAAAAAACCCATATTATTTGTTTCATCTACTGTTGATTAGTTATTGTCGGTTCATGGCCGTCACCGTTGATACCATCAGAGTCGTTTCCGTGACTAAAATCCAGTCTCCTACTTATCGTGAAATTGTGTCTATCGTAGTCGAAAACATCGCGAAGGGTCGTTAAAATTTAAGGTTTAACTTTGTTGTTTTTTGACGATTCAAACTGCTCTTGTTGTTTGTACGTTATGATCATCATCATTGAGTTTTTTGTACTGTTGCAAACAAAACTCAGTTGGTGGTGACCCTTCACCATCTGAGGTGAGGAGATGGGAGGAAGAGAAAGCAAGGGGGAAGAAATGACGTGGTGAGGGATTTTATAAAAAAAAATTAAAAATAAAAGAATAATAATTAATATATAAATGTGAAACGAAAGTGTAATGGAGAATTTTTTAACGAAAATATTTTTTAGACAATAAAAATTAACTTTTAAGTATAATTTGATAACTTATTTTTATATTAAACCAAGCAAAACCATGTGTTGTATTGTATAGGTGAATACAATACTTTGAAAAATAAATAGAATCTAAATACTCTTGAGATAGAACAGATAGGAAAATTTATATTAGAATTTCAATAGAATTCAAGGAAAACAAATTAATAAGTCCTCAATACAGCGGAAACAAAGTAACACTTAAATAATAACACATAGCAGACATCATATTCATATGGCAACCACTAAATTACAACTCGTAGTCCCAAAAGTTTTAGTTATCTTCCTCCTGGAACAGCTTCATAACCTCAGCACAACCAGCTTCAGCCTCGTCGGCCATGAAGCCCATAGCGTTGGCGAAACGAGTGTTGGATGCGATGCCATTGAAGTTGGTCAATATCACTCGAGCACGTTCACGTCCCGGTGTCATTTCACCACACCCGGGCTGTGAGCTCTTCACAAGAACAGCATCACAAACCTCATCTAAATGATCCTCCGACACACTGATCTTGTATTGCCCGGTTGAGTCCGTGTATCCTTCCCTCTCGTACACAACTTCACCCGTCTTCCTGTCGGAACACACCACCTTAACCTTGGCACCTACAAACCACATCATCAGTACCCCCAAAATCCCAGAACTAAATGCAACAAATCCCCAAAAACACCTCACAGATCTATCAATGCCACCGACAAAACACACAAAACCAGATATAGGGAAACATGGAAAAAGAATAAAAGAAAAGACAAAAGGAAGGTACCGACCGGCCATGTTTCTAGTCTTGGGTGTTTCAAACCCCGCACGGCAATAGTCACAGTAAACTTGACCTTGAACCACCAATGGGCTCTTCACCATGCGTGTAGAACTAACCAGAGATGGAATCACACACAGCGCAATGAACAACAATATTTTCGCCATTTTTTCTGGGTTTGTTTCTTGAGAATGTGATGGGAGTAACCGGAGATTAAATTCAAGAAGAAAGGGGGGGGGTAAAGAGACAGTGAATGATAAAGTGGAGTGATATAAGTAAATTAACCAAAAAGTTTGGGAAAAGTGAAATTGAATCCGGGTAAGCCGCGTTAAGAACAGTAGTATATATGATGAAGATGAAGGGTGTTTTGGTAAATGGGTGGAGTGAGGGTAGTGATATGGCGAGGTTTTATTGGTGTAGAGAGGACGACATTGATTGTATTCGCGGCATGGGCGGGGATTTGGAGAAGGTTGAGCAAAGAGCGAGCAAAGCGTTGTGCATTAGCTTTAAGTTCTTCATGTTTTTCTACCGCCAATCACGCCTGTAAAGCAAAAGGAGTCATGCTATCCTCTAAAGCAAATTGGAGAAGGTTGAACAAATATTATCTTTTATACTAAATTAAACGCACAATTTTAGATTTTCTATAAAATTTGTTTTCATAGATATAATTTTTATTTTTATTTCAAAATTTTACAATATAATTGTAATTCAAACACTAAAATTAATTCGTTAAACTTTACGTTTCATTTAAAGGAACAATTTCTAAAATTTTTGTTTTAATCATATACTTTCATTTCTTTATAATTTAATCATAAAATTGTAAGAAAAAATAAATAATTTATCTCCAACTGTAAACGACTTTATCGATTATTGTAATATTCACCATATTTCACTAAATATTTGTTCATTGTCCATTTTTTTTGGTTCATAATATATCCCCAAGTTTACCTATAGATGTACGACTAATTTCTTGGAATACTACCTCTTTTATATTAATTTATTAAAATAAGATACAATATTTTAATTATAATCATGTGTTCACTTTAAAATTTGAATGTTCTTCGATTAGTTATTTATTTTACTTATAGTGTTCACCTTAAAATTTTATTTGTACTCACCATATTAAAAAAATTATATTGTTAATATACACGTGTTCACGCTGAAAAATATTTTTAAATTCACTATTAAACATTATTGTATGTTTGGCTCGTTTTTGTGCTAATTGAGTCCACCACACACATACCACCTTTTATTTTTTTTTTTTAAATCGTATATATTTTAAGCGTTTAACCCATTATTCTTATTTATTTTATTTTAGTCATAAATGACGTCAATATAAGAGAGACCATCGGAAAAATCGTTACATTAGTAAAGATGTGCATAAAATGTCTTTTATAAAGCATTTCTCATGTGACATATTTATTAAAAATGATACTATTTTAATTAATAATATTATTTATGTGTTATTTTATTACTTAGATGTACATTATATATATAATATATATATATGGGTATAAATATATTATAAATAATAGTCATCGTCAATTTTATTTACTTTTTGTTAGAAGATAACGACATACATAATAATCGTCTAATAAAATAGACACAAAAAATTTAAATATAAAATATTTTCGAAAAAAATCACATGCAAAAAAGGAGAAAAATCACTAATATCAAGAGAAGAAGAAAACAAGAGGAGTCATCATAAACAACTTGATCTCTAACCCTAATCCTTAGTGTATATATTTATAGAGATAGAAACTTAATTACAAAAGAAACAATATACAAATCTACTTTAATAAAGTTTTATATTTTTAATCAAACTAGGTTTATTACTTTCCCAATTTTATATATTAATTAATTTGTTCCACTTTGAAATCGAGTCAAACTCTAATAAATCTCTACCTTAACTCGAGACAAAAACCCAACTTCGATGAGACATTCAAACTCAACAAAAACAATTATTCACTTCAACAAACAAATTCTTCACCTTGAAAACATATTCTCCACTTCTTCCACGAAATCTCTTATAGGGGTATTCTTCAACAATGATAGTCAACTGAATCTAAAACTTGCCAAAACTTGGATTTAGTCTTTTCATCGGTAAGGAAATCATAAATATTAATTTTACTCACAACTTGTTCACTACAAGCAATATCATGCACAACATCGTAACGTTCATCAATGACAATTCTATCTTTTATGTTATGCTTATGGAATTGAATTTTCTTCTTCTTAAATCTATTATGTCCACAGAACTAAACTCTCTTTTTTTGTTAAATTTGTTATGCCTATGGAATACAACATTGTTTTGCTCCCAAAATTGTTATGTCTACAGTTATTTTGTTCAACACATAGTCCTCATTTTTCATGAAGGAAAAAATAACAGTTCATCTTCTATAATTATCGAATTTTGCAAAGTATAGAATTTGAGAGTCTTTCTTTGCCCTTTCATCTGAATAGGAAAGCTTTTAGACAGTTTCATACATCTACCTTCCAAAACGATAATTTGGTGTTGCGATCCAATAACGAAATTTCATACTTCAAAAATATCATAATCTTAATCGAGTCAAACAACTCGAACACTATGATATCAATTTTTTAGAAGATAACAACATGCATATCGACCGCCCAATAAAATAAACATCAAAATTTTACATGAAAAACCCTTTTGCCAAAAACCACGAGCAAAAGAGGACAAATTTATTAATATCAAGAAAAGAATAACACAAGAGGAGTTATCATGGACAATCTAATATCTAACTCTAATCTTTAATACCTATTTATAAAATTTTATAATTTTAACCAAACTAAATTTATTATTTTTTTTTAAATTTATATATTAATTAATTTATCTCACTTTGAATTTGAATTTGAATTTGAATTTGAATTTGAATTAAGCGGAACTCTAATACTTTTAATTATAAAAAAAAATCAAAATCATAAAGAAAACATGAGTGAAACTAAAGCGACGCCGTTTTAGATAACGAAATAATATGAAATGAGTATAAGATACATCTTTATTCTTTGGTGGTGAGTCGCATCTTCCGTCCATTACGTCTCTCAGCTGAGCCTCATTACGCTTTTCTTTCAAACATAATAAAAAAAGGGGGGCGAGAGAGAGAAAATTCTTCTACTTTTGTTCTGCAATACTAGATTTTCTTGTCAACCAAACACGAAATATTCCTTTACGTTTTAATTTTCTTCTTAGTGATTTAGATTTTCGATTCCTTTGATGAATAAAGGGAAGATTTTAATTAGATTGTTGTGACGATGTCAAAAAAAGCAACCAGCTGCGCTATTTGCGACAATTCAAATCGCGCTTCCATTTGCGTCTTTTGCGTCAATTACAGGTATATAATATATATTTAATCTTCGGTAAATGTTTGTTAAATTTGAATTTTTTGTTATTGTTCTGATGAACTCTTCGTTGCAGATTAAATGAATATAATTCTTTGTTAAAATCATTAAAAAGCCGTCGTGATTTCTTATATTCAAAACTAACCGAAGTGCTTGCCGCAAAGGTTTGATTTCTTTCACTTAATTTGAAATTAGTTTCTTAATACGTTTTTCGATTTTTTTTTAATTTTGATTTGTGTTATTGTCAGGGGAAAACTGATGATCAGCTGAATTGGAAAATTCGTCAAAACGAGAAACTAACTTACTTGAAAGAGAAGCATCTTCGCAGTAAAGAACAATTAGCGCTAGGTTTTTCTGCTTGCCCTGTAGTTTTTTTTGGCTCATGTTTTATTCATCAGGCGTATGCTAAACGATGCTTTATTTATAGGGAAGACTAAGATTGAGAGAATGTCTCATGACTTAAAGGTTAATTATGGAGTGCTTGATTCTGCTCGAGCCACGGTACTAATTCTTTTCCATTTTAGTTTCTTGGGAAGAATTGCAAGTTGTATGAAAATTAACTATAGGAATTATACTTGTTCTCTCTGCAGCTGGAGAAAAATCGTTTAGAACAGATTGAGAAGTTCTATCCCAATCTTATTTGCACACAAAGCTTGGGGCATGTAAGGACTCCCTGTTTTTGACGTTCAGCTTCTTTTTTTCTATCTCATTATTAGAATGTCTTTTATTTTATCTGAATGTTGTGAATTATAACATTTTCTGAGTTGCAGATGGCAATTACCTCGGAATGTCTACATAAGCAGTCTGTGGCCATAAAACAAATATGCAAATTGTTTCCGCAACGCCGGGTAAGTGCTTCTATGTTTAATTTTGTTTTAATTCCTGTAATTGACTGGTGATTGACTAGTAAGTGTGCTTAGTATGCTTCTTCTAGTTATGAGCCTTGTCTTGACAATCTATATTGATCCTGCATACAGAGATTAACCAAAACCAAAAATCTTGAGTGACTTTTTGCGTTTACGATTACTTAAAGATGCAACAAATGTGGTTAAGATGAGGATATTTACCCCAAACTTGTTCATATCCCCTCCCAGCTTTTCTTCCCTACCTACTTACTCTCTCCTATGTTAAAGATTTTGCTTGTAAGTAAGCTGAATTTTTTCTACTCTCGCAGGTAAATTTAGAGGGGGGAAGAAAAGACGGATCCAGGGGTCAGTATGACCTTATTTGCAATGCTCGCTTACCTAGAGGGCTTGATCCCCATTCTGTTCTATCAGAGGAGCTTGCTGCCTCATTAGGGTAAATTTTTGCTTGTTTACATAAGGCTATATGATAAGTGCAATCCTGCTACATTTATTTTTACCTCATTGGATAATACAACCCCTTTACTCAGTTTTGAATCTTCTTCGTTTCTAAAGTCTTTGATGAGCATGAATGTCCAGTTTCTGACACTGATAATCCACTTAAAATCAGGTATATGGTGCAACTTCTGAATCTTGTTGTTCATAACTTGGCTGTTCCTGCACTTCATAACTCAGGTTTTGCGGTAAGAGCTAAGAATTGATTACACTTCTATGCTAAGTCTAAAAATTTATTGATGCTTATGGTATTGGATTTCTTTATATAATGCACATTCACACACAGAAAAACATATATGCATATATAGTTTTTCAGTTATTTGGATGTCCTGTTGGTAATCTTTAAGTGGTCTGAAACTATAAATCTTAACGGGTCATTACTAAAGAAAAATTCTTTTATCCCAGACGATGTTAGTAAAGAATAGCTGATGCTTATAATGTATTTCCTTAAGCATTTTTTTAGATACTTTTAATGATTGATATGTCGTTCATTTTTTGCAAGTTCTACTGAAATCTCTCTTCGTTCTCTATCTGTATGACTTTCAGCTTTAAATTTTATTGATTTCTATGTAAAAAATAGTAATTTGCATTCCATTTTTCTACAACCTTTCTGGTTTCTAGAATGCCTATAAAGAATTCAAAGCAGTTGATTTTTATAAATATCATTGTGTTGATTTGTTCTTGATTTGTCTTCCTTCAAATCAGTTCTGGTTTTAGAAGTGGTAGACGTTTTCCTGATGGTATTTTTTTCCTCTTATTTTTCTTTAAATTTGCCGGTGTTCCACTTTTTTTTGGTTCTGGTGTTTAGAAATGTGTACTAACAATAATTACTTCAAAACATATCCCCGCTTTGAAGAAGTTCATTCCATGTCGGAGGATATTGGTTTCTATAATAAGCACAACCAAACCGAGCATACGTGAGATCTATTTTATTCCCATTGTTGTTATACTCATCATGTTATAGTTTCACCTCAGGGGTCTTGCTCACGAATATGGCAACGAGATTCTTATTGGGATGCACGCCCTTCTTCTCGAAGGTATCTCTCCTGAAATGTTATTCAACATGGTTGACTAAGGGTTTTCTCTTCTGGGATTGAATATTTTTGTTTGTTTGTAGCAACGAGTATCCACTTTTTATACCTCGCCAAAATTATTGCTCTGCTGGTGGGGATATTTCATGGACAGATAGAAGCTCTAGTAATTTTGGTGTTGCTTCAATTGATTCTGAGAGAAAATTCCATCTGGATTCATCTGAAAGTAGTAGCTTCAATCATTCTTCTGCTTCTGCTCACACTGCTGAAACACACAAGGACTTGCAGAAAGGGATATCTCTTCTGAAGAAAAGTGTGGCATGCATAACCGCTTACTGCTACAACTCACTCTGTTTAGATATTCCTGCTGAGGCATCTACCTTTGAAGCATTTTCTAAATTATTGGCCACATTATCTTCAACCAAGGAAGTTCGATCAGTATTTTCGTTGCAAATGGCCTGTGCGAGGTACAGCCTGGTTTCCACCATCTATTTCTGATATATGAGCTCGATCATGTTCAAGTTATACTTTTTTGGGGGAAAGTATAAAAACTACTTTGGTAACCTCAAATAAGACATAGGAATAATGAAATTATGCAGTTAAATTCCGGAGGATAAATTTTAAGTTTTAAATTGGATTCTCTACTTCAAGTAGATATTGAGAAAATTATAGCTGAGGTTGAAATCTCTGGAGTTGGATTCATGAATGAGTTGTTTTCAATGGTTACAACTAAGAGTCACATGTCACCTGAGAAGAGTTTGGGTGTCTCAAACCTAGTTACTGTGCTTTTTATGGTATCCCGTTGATTTTAAGATGCACCGTAGTCCCATTTTTAACATACTAATTACTATTTTGCAGCTGATTGTTGCGTTTATCTTTCTTATTTCAGGTCAGGCAAGCAAGTTCAACAGCCTTACAAATCTGTATGGAATGTGAATTCTGCAATGTCGTCATGCGCATTATTGGAGAGTGCACACATGCTTCCTTTGATGGTATAATATTGCCTTGTTTTAGCGACTTTTTGAAATTTCATTTCGCTGACTTTGTTTAACACTTGTTATCACCCCCCACCACACACACACATACAAGTTTCTACATGTATTTAAAGCAATCCTTGGAGGGCCATATCCCCATAATCATGTCTGTATATGCGGTGGGCATAGATACTTAAAGAAACATGAAGAGTCCAAACTTTTTTATTGTTGTCTCCGCTGATAAATTCTAATAAACTTGATGGTGTGATTGGCTTTGGACTTTTGACTTGGATGCTTCACCATTTGAAGAAATTATTTTGATTCCGTTTCATGATGACCGTGCAGAAAAATTTCTCTGATAATAACCTTGGCAGTTCAGCTCCCAGTTTTCTTTTTGCTACTGAGATGTCTGATGCTAGGAAGAATGAAAACCCAATTGATGAATGGGATCTTGTGGAACATCCAACATTTCCCCCTCCACCATCGGAAACTGAGGATGTCAAGCATTGGACTCGAGCCATGTTCATTGATGCCACAAAGCGATGACCAGTTCATGTGAGTGACACATTGCATATCTCATCTTCTAGTTAAAGTCTCAAGTAATGATACTATTAGCAGTATGCATCTTAGGGAAATGTTTATTTCTCAACTAATAGCTTCAAACTAAAACAAAACCATGGTGTTGAGCATTACCATTATGGATGCCATTCACTTTCTGCAGAAGACATCAATCATGTATCCTATGTTATCCGGGTTCAGTAACTGTCGGATGCGAGTATGTTTCTGACATGATTATACCCATTTTTCCTAAACCTTTTCATATGTTTAGAGAACTATGTTTTCATACTCGTATCGGAATATGCGTTTTAACGTAATACTTTATGATGTAAAGAGTTCGGGTCACATGGTTCCAGATTTCTATCGGAAACATTAACCATGTATCCTATGCTATCCGTATTCGGAGTTGTCAGATACAAGAAGGTTTCCAGCCTGGTTTTTAAATACATTCACAGATCATATATTCGTATGTCCGAGCATGCGTTCAACATGGGTGTTGAACATAAATACTCGAGTTGAGCCCACATAGTTCCTCTCCATCGATTGATGTTAACCTATAACGTTTTTAACATGTGAATTCCTTGTGTTTGAATTCTTAGGTGTTAATAACAAATTTCTGAGATGGAGGATTGGCGACGGACATCTAATGCATGGCCTTGACTTGTCTGACATGTAAATAGAAATGATTTGTCATTCATATCGTGTATATAATTTTATTTATTCATTTATTTCATTTACTCATAAGTTGTTTGAGTAGGGGTAAAAATTAACCGAGCATAAACTAACAAAATTATGTTCGTGTTCGTTTATTTTTTAAAGTGTTTATGTCTGGTTTATGTTCATTTAAATTTTCAATATTGTTTTTATAATTGTTTATTTAATATTGAAGCTATTTGTGTTAGTTCGTTTAACATTCATAAACGTATTCGTTTAACATTTATGAACATATGTTTGTAAACATGTTCGTTTAATGTTCAACACTTTTTCTTTATTTGTAAGCCAAAGAAAAATGGTGAAATTATGCCACTAATCTTTAGGTTTCCTAGGCTTCACAATTTGAAATCCAAAGTCCATCTCATGTTCAATTTTATCCCTATCTTTACCAACATTTAAAATTTTAAAAAATAAAAGGAAAAAGAGATTGAGTAAATGAGAATATAACCAATTGTATAAACGAGCTTTATTCGTGAGAATATAAACGAAACAAACATATCTTAATTATTATTTGTTTGTTTATTAAATGACTATAAAAAATTGTGCATACTTATTTATTTAGTTTAATAAATGAGTTTTATGAATAGTTCGTCGAACATTGGTTCATTTACCCATTATATTAGGCTTCTTTTTTTCTATTTTCAATAGAAAAAGAAATTGTTAAGAAAAAATCGTTTAACAAAAAATTAAGTGGTTAAATGCTTACTCATATAGCTTATCTGTAACATTTATTGTGTATTTAATTTTAGTTGTAACATAACTTTTAAATTTATATTTCTTTAGTATTATTAGAAGAAGAAAAAATAATTGGTTTTTTGAGATATCTGAACTAAACAATGCTTAATCCGAGTAACACATGATTTCTGGATAATCATCTCATTAGACTGTTGGTCTGGATTCAGAATCTATAGTTCTCAACGGTTTTCTTATCCAATTTCCAAATATCCCGGCGATTTGACTAAACTGACACCTTTACGTCGAATATATCCCTTTTTAACACCCTTTGACCGATATTTCCCGAAGTAGCACCCTTTCGGCTGAGGTGGCATAAATGTGCATCTCCGGTGACGCGTTTTACCTGGGTTTGGGATGCCACGCGTGTAAGGCGCATCCCCGGGGATGCGCTTTCACGGGGTTCTACTGAGTCGGATGCCACGGAGGTAAGGCGCATCCCCGGGGACGCACCTTTCATTAAATGTCATAATTGCCCATCCATTTTCCCCCCAACTACCCCTCCTCATCCCCTATATAAACTCCCTCAACCCTCTTATTCTTCACACCAAAATCATTTTCTCCTCTCTTATATAACTCAAATTCTCCAACTATTTGAGTTTTAAATTTCTTATTAGTGGTAAGAAATTTATTTTTAAGTTAGTATTTTTTAAATAGTTTTTATATTTTATATTAATATAATTCTATAAATATTATTTTTTATTAAAATATTATTTATATAATTATTATTTATTTAAATTAATTAATTATTTTTGTGCTAATTATATTTTTTTGTCTATAATTATAATGGAAAGTGAAATGTTGTTGCGATTGGATGCAAACCATATCTCCAGACATTTTAGTGATATAGTAATATTTTTTTATAATTAATGTTAATATTTATTATTATTTTTAATTTAAATTTATCATGAATTTATATTAATTATAAATTTTTATAATGCATATTATTTAGGAAATTGATCTTATTTTAGAAACATTTATTAAAAACCCACGTATACCGACACCGCAACGTATTTTGCCATATTTGTCTTCTGTCGGGTTCAGGCATATTGCAATAATTATTGGCGGTTGCAAACTCGAACATGTTCTAATTTATGCATTGATTGAGAGGTGGAGGCCCGAGACACACACATTTCATCTTCCATGTGGAGAGACTACAATTACATTGGAGGATGTCTCTATGCATCTGGGGCTTCCCGTCGATGGGAATATTATGTGTGGTATGGCGGATAGTGATTGGCAGTCAATGTGCATGGAGTATCTTGAAGCTGCTCCGCCAGAGTTTAATGGAGGTAGAATAGCTTTATCATGGTTGAAAGCTAATTTTGAAGTTCTGAATGAAAATGCTTCAGATGATGAAGTAAAGGCATGTGCTCGGGATTATATTCTACGAATCATTGGAGGAATATTGATGCCCAACAAATCTCGCAACCAAGTGCATTGTATGTGGTTGCGACATCTGATTGATTTTGATGAAGCTTGAAATATAGTTGGGGCGCTGCAGTTTTGGCATTTCTCTTTAGAGAAATGTGTTGTCCGACGAATTATAAGAAATCTGCTATCGGTGGATGCTCTTGCTTCTGCAATCATGGGCGTGGTTTCGCATGCCTTTCTTATACCCGATCGTCAATGAATCATACGTATTCCCCTTATTATTGAGGTAATTTTTGAACTAAATTTTGATTTAAATATTTTTAATTAAATAGAGTGATATTTAGTTTATGTTATATTTCATAGGTGGTCGATGAAAAGAAAGAACCATAGAGATATACCTACTGGACTAGAGGAAATCCATTTACTTATTGATACAAAAGCTGAGTCTGAGGTATGTTTTAAAATATGTTTAAATATGAATATTTTAATTTAAAATGTTAGATATAATTAGAATATTATATTTATTTGAATTGTATATTTATATTTCAGTTTTAGTGGATACCTTATGCGAGCGATGAAGTAAAGGCTTGCATCTCACCCCACCTGAGTAGTCATTAGTGTATATTTATATGTTGATCGCGTGCTCTGTCAGTTTGGTTGTGCGTAATATATTCTTGGAGCACCTAGGAATTTAGACGACATGCATAACATAGATAGACGAGGAAAGAAAGAGGTTAACTGGGTGGTAAGACACAGAGATTGAATTGCGCTTTGGGAGAACTGGTATGCACAGTTGGCCCCTCGACAATTTTACGTTGAAACTGGTCATATGGTTACGGATAACTATATGGACTGGTTTAATGAAAATGGAAAGTTGTTTCTACTTTCGGCGGAAGCACGAGGGGTTAACATTCCTAGGCGCCGAGGGAGACGTCAACCGTCTCAATATCATCGTCCCCCGACTCGTGGATTGAGAGAAGGCGCTACCGGTTCTGCATCAGTCCCGCAACAACATCCCTATCCACCGATGATGATGCCTAGCCCTCCAGTTCAGATGCCATCTCCTCAGGGGTATATGCTAAGCCCACCAGTTTATATGTCATCTCCGCAGGGTTACATTCCTAGTTCTTAGGGTTACATTCCTAGCCCGCCAAGTTACATGCCTAGCCTGCAGGGTTTTATGACACCATATGGAGGTGGATATACGACTATGTTTAATGATCCAACATATGGTTCATATGCATCTTATTTGGCCGGTGGTCCTTCTCCACAGACACCTCAATCTCCATCTGGATCACAGACATCGATGCCAATGTTTTCACAATTTTCTCAATTTTCTATGAGCGGTGGGATTGTTAGTAACACTCCTCCAGGGTCGTTATTTTATACAGGCCCCTCAGTGTCATCTACAACACCAGTCGAAGAAAATGCCGATGATGATGACGATAGTGAAGATGAGGAGACTGAAGAACAAGTTCCACGAAGAAATCCTCAGCGAAGTAGACAACCACCGCCATGCAGAACTCATTCGAGAAGACGAAATCGGTGATCCAATTGTATTTTAATGTTATTTAAATAGTTATATTTCATAAATTTGTGTAATTTGGTTATGTTATTTAAATGTTTCATGGATAAATTTAATTTCAATTTAAGTACTGTGAACTATAATTAGAATATAACTTTTAATTTTGAATACAATTGGAATATTAAGTTGAATTTAATGTTAAATTTCGAATACTATTATTTGTATTTTAATTTTAAATTTTGAATACTATAATTTGTATATTAAAAGCATTTAATGTTAAAATTGAGTAAAAAATAACATTAAAAATATTGTTGTAACAACCATGAAACATTTAAATAACATAACCAAATTACATAAGTTTATGAAATATAACTATTTAAATAACATTAAAATACAATTGGATCACCGATGTCGTCTTCTCGAATGAGTTCCGCATGGCGGTGGTTGTCTATTTCACTGAGGATTTCTTCGTGGAACTTGTTCTTCATTCTCCTTATCTTCACTATCATCATCTTCATCGTCATTTTCTTCGGCTTGTGTTGTAGATGACGCTGAAGGGCATGTATAAAATAACGACCCTGGAGGAGTGCTACTAACAATCCCACCACTCATAGAAAATTGAGAAAACTGTGAAAACATTGGCATCGATATCTGTGATCCAGATGGGGATTGAGGTGTCTGTGGAGAAGGACAACCATCCAAATAAGATGCATATGAACCATATGTTGGATCATTAAACGTAGCCGTATATCCACCTCCATATGATGTAATAAAACCCTGCGGGCTAGGCATATAATGTAACATCCTCCATACCGGGTTAGTGATCAAATTGTGAAATTTCAAAATTTAGTAACCAAAGTAGATAAATTGAATAGTTGAAAGATTTAATGGGAATGTTTTGTGTAGGATCAATTAACAAAGAAGGAGGAACTAAAGGGGTAAATGAGTCTTTTAATAGGGGAAATAATTAAATATTAGATGATGATATTTAAATCCACGTGGAAGGCAAATGGAGAGAACAAAAGTTTCCAGATTTCTCTTCTTCTTTCTTCTTCTTCCCCGTGAGACCAAGCTAAAGGTGAGTTTTCTTGTTAATCAAATTCTTGATGAGTTTAAGGTTGCTTATTGATCTTTAGATGATAACTAAGCTTAAGAAAAACTTAGGTTATCTAAAAAACCATAAGATGGTGAGGTTAGGAAGGATTAAAGAAAGGAAGTAGAAAAGTAAAATCTTGGATTAGAGTTCATAATAAGAATTAGAAGTGTGATTTGACTTGTCATCAAGCTAATTAAAGGATATGAAGTGTTAGAATTCGATATAGAACATGTTGAAAATTGAATGAAATTCTTAAATTTTATATGGAGAATTGAATTTCTAAGTTTTAAAGGTATCGAATGGATAATAATTAGTTTAAGCAAGTGTATGCAAGTTAGGGATA